TATATAATAATTGGACCAACCATAAATTGCCACCTGTACATACTGGTAGATAAAATATTAAATATAAAGCACCTTTATTTATCAAAGTAAAAATTTTATTTGAAATTAGCTCTTCTATATATATATATAAATACAATAAAATAAATGAAAACAATTTTACAAAGTAATTAACCAAGCCATCAGTCTCAAACTGTAGTAAATGGCGTGTTTTATATGAAACAATAATTGTACATATGTAAATTAGTGTACATATTGTTATTACAAATTATACGAAGCATATATTTGCAATAAACTATGTAATAAGTATTATAAAAGGTTCACGAATTTTTGGAAAATCGGTTGAGCTCGAAAATTTCTGCTTGACTTCGGGCAAGGGTACCCTCGGTTCATATAGGCACTTGGAGGTCACAGGACACGTCAGTTGCCCTTCGATCGTCATGACGGGAATATCGAAACTTGAACCGATTAAATTAACTTATTTATTTATTTTCCACTTATAATAATTTATTTAATCTATTTATTGATTATTCACTTTCAATTATTTATTTAATTTATTTATTTATGTTAAACTTTTAAAAATTAATTTAATTTATTTATTTGTCTAACTTTTAAAAATTTATTTAATTTATTTATTTTTTATTTTTAATAATTTATTTAATTAATTTATTTACTTTTTACTTTTAATAAATTTTTTAAATTAATTTATTTATCTTTCACTTTAAATAATTTAATAAATTTTTTTATTAATGTCTTCCTTTCAACAATTTATTTAATTTATTTATTTATTCTTTACTTTTAATCATTTATTTAATTAATTAATTTATTTTCCACTTTTAATACATTTTTTTAATTAATTTATTTATCTTTCACTTTCAATAATTTAATGAATTTTTTTTCAATAAACGTTTCCCTTTTAACAATTTATTTAATTAATTTATTTCTGCATAACATTTAACAATTTATCCTATTCACTTATTTTTAATTATTCATTTAACCACTTCGTTCCATTTTTATTTCGAATAAATATTTTACGTTTTATTTTTTGAATTTCATTGGTGTTAGTGGACATTAAATATTTTTATAACTATCACATTATTAACATACTTCTAGTAAATCGTATACGTTCGTACGGTCCTATACGCGATCTTTTTACTCGATGCCGGTCGAAGTAAGTTCGCACGTGTCCGCGACATCGCGAGTGTGTTCTGGAAGTGTTCCAAAAGAAGAAGAAGGAATTACAAGCAACGTTGACATCGCTACACTGACGACGTGACAAGGAAAGGCCAGGGTGACGTTGATGCAAGGACGAAGGCGACAGTCAATCCAAAGCTGCTTTGACACGGAGAAGAGATCAACGATCGGTGAGTCGCATGTTTACGATTCCTCTGGTTGCCCATCATGTCGTAGGACGAATGGTCCGAAACGACACTGGTGACTGGTTGTATTTCATATTATTCTCATAGCGAGCATAGTGACCACGAGTGCTAATGTACTAATACACAATAGCACTCGTGCAATATATATTTTTATGACATATTTGTTGGATCAGGCTAGGGTTCTCTTGTACATCGCGTATTAAAATCTCGGTTAAAAAGTTTCTAAATTTTTAATTTCTAATTCCGGGTTATTTCACGGAGTACAAGTACAAGAAAGCATTTCCCTCGGAGAAATTTCCAAAATCGAAGTAATAATTCGAATGGTTTTCAATTATTAGAGGTGTTGCTTTGATTTTGGAATTTTTCATATTTTTAATGAAACACCCTTTCCCCATTACATTTCACTTTTTTTTTTTTTTTTTTTATTAATACATGCTCCTTTCTTGACACGAATTTTTGTCGAGTCAAGTAGACTCGTCAACGAAAAGTAGAGTCGTCAGCCCAGCACCTTAGCTCTGTCACTAATCCCGATTTTTAGGATTTTCAGCAAAAGGACACGAGAACTTTTAATTTTATATTTAAGATTATTTTTGTCACTATGCTCGCTACTTTATTTCGTTACATTTTACAGGAATATTGTATTTTTGTACATTTGTGCAGTATTACCGTGCACACTGTGCCCACTGTGCATACTGTGCACATTGTATTCGAGAGTCGAAATTCGAGGAATATATAAATATAAATATATATAAATATGATATAAACATATACAAATCAAAACATCGCGATTGGTACTTAAAAGTTCCCCTTAAAAGTAACCCCTTTCGACATAACATTGCTAAAAGCAAAGTCAGGAGAAATGTGCCTTATGAGGCTCCTCGCGTGCGTTCTTCCACTTTTCCCACTATTTTCGTGACTTTTAAAAAGTGACATGAGTGGCAGCTAAAAATAATTTCTTATTTCACTGTATAATAATTTTATGCAACTGCCATATTGCATAATGACAAATTTAATAATAATAATGACAATATTATGAAATTTTATTTCCGTGTCATTATTAATTATTCTTCCTTTTCTGCAGATGTTAGACATCCAATATTTCATAATTTATTTTCAAAATTATTTTGTATATTAATGTTGTACTTTAGTTTGTAGTATACATTGTATTGCCTTTTGTGATTTATTTTCTGTGATATTTTGTACTTTCTTCTATACCATATTTTGTGCTATGTTTTAATAACGTGTTTAGGCCTGGGTCTCGATTGCGTAGCCACCTCCACGTGGTGAGACCTGGTAATTGGCATCGTTTGCCAAAATTGTATTTCAAATATTTATCCGAATAAATTGAATCTAGTAATTTACGGAATATTCGATATGTTCATCTTTGGCAAACGATGCCAAGCTAAGAGCTACGCAATACTCGCAATCCTAATTAGCCTCTAAAAGACTAGCTTCCGATATCTTGGAACCTAGGCCGGAGTCGCGAGTACCATTTTATTTGTTTTCCCACAATATAGAGGTACAATTTTATTCTATATATTTTGTTCAATTCCTCACGTAGAATCACCACGAGTTACACGACACCCGGTATATTTCTCTGTAAATTTTAAATTCCTGATTCTAGTGTCAAACTATTCTCCATAAAATGTCAGTAAGTAATTTTCTAACCTGTTCTTCATAACTAAAGCAACTGTTCAGGCAAAACGGAATTGCATCCCCGAGTGGTCTTCACACACTGTGCATCTCTTTGCAGAACATATGTATGGTATATACAGTATTATAAAATCCAAACGTCTCGTTAGGACGCTCACGCAGAGACAAACCACTCGCCAAGATCTTCACACGCTCGCAGGCCAGAGCGATAGATGTGCGGATGAAGGGTGCTTGGGCTAGAGTGTTAGGGGTGTGAAAGAGGAGCGTTTGGACCGTGTGCTTGAGGTTATCGTGTGAACGAAGGATGCAGCCAGATGAAAGGCTATCCAATGATTCTGACGTAGCTAAACGGTGGCATAAAGCGAAAATAGTGGAAAAATATAGAAAGAAAGAATGAACTGTGAATAGATAGACCATTGGGAGGTAGTTGAGGGTTGAGAAGAGTTAGGAATTGATGTTGAGAATTCGGAGTGAGTATTTGGTGGGATGTTTCATTGCAGAGAGTATAACTTATATTTTAGAGAAATTGTTATTGTTTTATTAGTAACACTGGAATTACTATACCAGTGAAAATGACTGGTGTCAGACATCATGTTCTTGGAGTTACCAAAGAATTCTTTTAAAAATTTATTATTTTGCTCTTATTAAATTTTAATAAAAATTTATTATTTTGTTCTAATTAAATTTTAATAAAAATTTTTTATTTTATTCTTATTAAATTTTAATAAAAATTTATTATTTTGTTGTATTTCGTTTGTAAATTATTGATTAATAATATAGAGTAATATTCTTTGTAATAACATATTCTAATAGTATAATAGCAATATGTTATAGTGATATAGAATAATATTCAATATAAGTATAATAGGACCAAATAATACTTTCTTTTTATTTTTCAACAATTATTAATTCCTAAATTTCAAATTAAATTAATTTGACAACTAACATATTATGAGATCTTCATTGTAAAGAACAAAATAACAAATTGTGTTTAATATGTTTTTACATAAACAATATTTGTACAAAGTCTAAAACGATTGTATAATTTTATTGCAAATGAATTAGATGTATAATGAATAATTAAAATTAGATATTTCTTTGATGTACCATTTTTCAAAATTATAAACAAATTTCTGGTTAGGTTAGGTTAATATTATTATTGCCAGCAGTTGCATATTCTCAGTGATAATAACATTCTTAAAATTCCTAATTTCCTTGTTTTTGCAATTACTGGAAGAAGAATGAAAAGACCACAATTGTATATATTTACCATTATACCATTCAAATTATAATCACCTACGTATACTATACTTGGATACATACTATAGTTTGATACTCCCAGTCTTAAAAACATATAAATAACACTTAATAATTATAAATAATATATATATAAAATGATAAATAATTAAATAACATTGTTATTTATTATAATAATTATAAATATCATTTATGAATAACAACAAATTAATTGCATGAATTTGGAACTTCCTGTATAAATTGAATTTCAAATTGTGCATATTATTAATTAGCTCGAATTATCTATAAATTCGTTTAAATTAATTTCACAATGCTAATATTAAAAATTGCTGAAATACAAAAATGGCACCTTCTACGTCCTCCATTCATTATTATTAAAGTCCCAATACTGTGAAACATTCCAAATAACGAGAAACAATATAGAAACGAATGTTATACCAATTAACGCCGTTCCAAGCCGTCACTTTCAATTAATTAATGTTTACAAGTAACGTGACCATATATTTGCATCATGTGCCAAATATTCAACAGCCTGTTTGTTACAGTCGTTTGGCACTCGCTGATACGTTTTTGAAACGAACACCGTGCAAATATCTGCGAGAAAGCTTCCGTTCGAACGAAATGTAACTATAATAAATTATCGCAACACGGTTCAGATATACTAATCCCTCGCGCTGCCTGATCGTTCCGCTTCCGCTTTTCAGTTCTTGTCTCCTCGCGACCACGCTAACTTGCACTCGCTCAATCACCACACTCACGCCAACCAAATTTAATTACTTTTGGTAAGCAACGATTAAGTATAGAAACAAGCTAATTAACAGCGACACGACGGCCAATTCCAACCATTGTTCACGTTTCCATGCTACGTTCAGGTCGTACAACATGGTCACGAAATGGCGGCGACGCAAGATGGCTGAAGGACCAAGTGTAAATGTGGATAAAATTATCAGTAGTTCGATCAGCACACTCGTTAACTAATAAAATTGAATTACTTTTGGTAAGCAACGATTAAATATACAAACAAGCTAATTAACAGCGACACAACGACCAATTAGAACCATTGTTAACGTTTCTATGCTACGTTCAGGGCGTACAACATGATCACGAAATGGCCACGGAGGACTAACAGCTGTAGATAAAATTATCAATAGCTCGATTAACACACTCGTTAATTAATTACAATTCTTACATTGGTAAAAAAGAATTAAATATAGAAATAAATTAATTAACAGCGACACGATGACCAATTTCAATAACTGTTACCGTTTCTATGCTACCTTCAGAGCGTACAACATGGTCACAAGATGGCCGAAGTATAACTGTAATGATAACAATAACGTAAAGTTTTTCTAAATTGTAGATTATGCAATCCTTATAATTTTGCAAGAAATTGTAAATTTTCGAGTTCTTGAAATAAACTTTCTGCCACTTTGAAAAAATTTTCACAAATTTCGAACCGTAAAAAAATGGTGCAAATTGAAAAATTTATTTATTCATTTATTATCAACGTACAGTCATCAATAACTCGTGAAACCGCGAATAAAAGTAAACAAACGAGAAACGTGCAGAGAAACTCGAACGAAAAAATACACGCGAGAACGAAACGAAAATAAAAATATTCTCAAAACACGAAAAAAGTTTCAAGGAAAACCCATTGCTGCCTCTAAACGCGAAAGAACGTCCCATTGGACGAAGTGGGTATTAACGCGTCGCTGGCGAATCTTAATGTTAATGGAAGGCCGAGACGCGAAGCGGCGGCAAGGGGGGAGGAAGAAGCTGAAACACGAAGGCGCTCAGTTTCTAAATAAAGACGTTTAATGAAGTCTCGAGAGAAGAGGGACACAGAGCGAGGCGAAGGAACTTTCGATCTCGCGCTACGAGTGGAATAAATCGGAATTTAAAAGCGATGAAAGTTTCAGCCGGAAGCTCTTAAGCTTAGAATAACTAGCGAGCGTTTGAAATCGAATGGCTTCCGGGCGAATGAGAATCGTGCTCGACGCCTCGAGTGTTGTACATCATCGATTTCCTATGAAACGCGCGGGAACAAGGAGCCCACTTTCAGGACTGTGAAAAATATGTCCCGTGCCGGCATTGCATCTGTTTCTTTGCGACACACCGAAGGACCCTATCTTCCGGCTTCAAACGAGATTTCTCGTCTGCTCTGTCTTCGATTTTATTTTCCACCGACGCTCCGTGCAACGGGTGTCTGGGGTGTTCTAAAACTGACGTCCCGCTAGATGGATCTGAGACGGCTCTTAACGAAGAGTGGGGGCGCGAAAGAAAGAGAAGGAAGGGGGGAACGTTTCGTCCAATGACGGCTACAGTGGACACGTCGGTACGGCTAACCTACCGGGCCCGTGCCTTTTTGTAACATATATACGTTTAATGCGCGAGTAAATTACAACGATATATACGATGGAAAGAAACCGAAAGGATTGATTTTAGAAACGAGAGGAATAACACAAGATCGATTAACCCTCGGAGCACAATCCTTCGCTCAACAGTAACGGGGTCTCTCGGGACCCCACACTGATATTCCACTAATCATGCTCGAGTGCCCCCACTCTTGTTCCACTACTCCCACCACTCCCTGGCATAGCCGACCATAGATGAACGACGCAGTAAGCCGACACCGGGTCGGATTTGCATCTAACTTTTTGATGCAGCATATTATCTAACAATATTTATAATATACGAAGAGTTTGTTTAAAAAATGTAAAATTTTATAAACATATTTGTTATTTATGTGCTATGGGTATATACAACATTATTATGTTTTATTACAATTTCTTTACATGTGGCGGAAAAGAATTATTAGTGGAATCGGTAATGTTCGTAACTCTTCGGCTGATGTTCGGCACGCAATGGCCGGTTATATAATGGCCTCGAGTTTGCTTCTCAACCTCATTTGTCAATTTGACTTCGGCTCGGACAGATCGAAAGTTTGACGTGGGTCAGGAATGTGAATAGGCTGTACTGTGGTCATTAGTTGATATTATTTGCTGGTTAATAACCATTGTACAATTCGATTCTATCTATATTTTCTTATTCTATAAAATTTTGTATTCAACAATCAATTAATCAGCTGAATACTGATACGAGATACTTATTATTGAAATATTTTTATAATTGGATTTGTATTACTTAAAAATGTGTCAGGGTTGAACAAAAGGTTGAACAAAATATTAATTCGAGTAAAAAATAAAAAAATTACTTCCTCATTTATATACTGCAATAAATAAGCATTGCTTTCACGTTGCACTGATTTTGGTTAGCATATAGTTCAATATATAGTTATTATTATTGCGTACAATACAATGTCAAATTCCGATATCGTTCAATTCAAAAAGAAATAAATAAAATTTATCTATCTATCTGTTTATAAACCCACACTACGAATAACCTAACCTACATATCACCCATTACGTTTCACTAACCTAAAACACGGAATAAAAGGAAAACTAAACAATCGTTCAAGCCGTTCATTATTCCCGCGTGACGAAAAATCTAGACTCGCCAATCGTTTTTCAGGGGCTAGAGGGGAAGTTATTGGTCAGTTGGAAGGCAATTCGAGGGGAACAAGTGGCGTTGAAAAACCGCAGGATCGTTCTACTCTCTGGTTTCGATCGGTTGATTCTGGCGACCGAAGTCGCGAGAGAACACTAGCAGAGCGAGAAGGGAGATCGGGACGCGAGAAGGTGGAAGAGAAAGGGGGAAACGGCTTTCGGCGGGACGCCAAATATTTATCTCGCATCGACGAGATATCTCTTTGAGAACACATCGACCGTATTATCGCGACAAATCGCAATTTCGTCGGTTAACTTCCGCGCGAATAACCGACCGTCGAACGACGCATCAGCCTGCTTTTCGCCGCGTTATTGTACGCCTACCGTTTTGCACGTGCTTCATTACGAGATCAACTCGAACGCGTTGCGCGCGCAACACTCTCTGTGCCGAGTGGTGGGGAGGCTGTCGAATACACGACAAGGAGAACCTTCATAGCGAGAGGAGTGCGAGTGTGCAGTCAGATACTAAAAATATATTATATACTTTATGATATAATATATTTATTATTTCCGTATAATTTATTTGTATATAACAATGTTATTAACATAGATAAAATAGGAGGTAGCAGCCATGGGACAATTATTTAACAATTCAGCACTGTGCTCTACCTCCTGCATCAATTTCTAAGCAACCATAATACTTGTGCTTCTGTTTTTCACGTGCCACGGAAATACCTTCCGTTACATTCGACCATTAACCTCTTACAAGGGGCCAATATTCCGCACGGCTTTTCAGTTACACCTCCAATTTTCGTTGTAATTTTCGAAAATGACCGCGGTTATGGTAAGTATAATTTCAGGACAACGTGGCTCGTGCTACACAGTCTCCACTTTTTAATTGCATCCGGCCATGTCGACCGGTTCGTGACTCCTTGCCATGTCCGTTGCGTTCAAATTGAAGACCTTATCTCGCGAATTGGTTCAATTAGAATCCGCGGAAGGCAACGATCTTCCTGTCACGGACGCTATCATGGAAGCCTTTCTTAAGTACACGTCAATTCGGAGGTATCATGTGAATCTTGGTGAGGAATGCTAGGTATTCTTTTCTTGGTGAAGATTCTTGGGGGAGGGGGGGATATTATGGGGGTGAATTGTAATGAAAAGTGAATCCAGCATATCTTAACATGTTCTATGCATAGTATATTATATTCTAAATATTTTAAATATAATATATTCAATTGTGTATATATTATGTACAATATATTATATTAGCAGTATATCATATATAGGGATTCTTGAGAGGTATATTATAGAGGTGAGTTTTAGTGACAAGTGAATGTAGTATATCTTAATATGTTCCATGTATAGTATATTATATTTTAAATATTTCAGATATAATATATTGAATTGTGTGAATATTATATACAATATACTATATTAGTAGTATATCACATATAGGAATTCATGAGAGGTATATTGTAGAGGTGAGTTTTAGTGACAAGTGAATGTAGTATATCTTAATATGTTCCATGTATAGTATATTATATTTTAAATATTTTAGATATAATATATTGAATTGTGTGAATATTATATACAATATACTATATTAGTAATATATCACGTATAAAGATTCTTGAGAGGGATAATGTAGGGATGAGTTTTAATGACAAGTGAATATAATATATGTTAATGTTTCATATATAGTATATTATATTCTAAATATTTTAGATGTAATATATTGAATTGTGTGTATATTATGTACAATATACTATATTAGTATAGTAGTATACCACATATATGGTATTATTAATATATTACTTTACTAGTATGTTACATGTAGTATACAGTTTAATAAGTATTGAAAAATTTGGAAATCCACTTCAATGTAGTCTAGCAAATAACCATGACAGTTTCTAGCATTATTAGAAAAATTTACAATTTTACAATTGTAATACTTTATTAAATAATCTGCAATCCGGTTTCAAAATTTTGTTTAAGTCCTTCTTTTGTTGGAAATTTTAATGGTACATGTTAAATAATGAGCACCTAAAAATCCCTCTAGTTTTCAGGAAATAAAAAATGAGAACATTCCTATTTTTTTATTTTGATTCTTTTCATTTATGATATTATTTTTTGTGTTTTAAAATTGAAATATTGGTTTGACGCTAATATTAAGCAGTCAGTCTAAGTATAATGGAAAAATACGTAGAGTGGATGGAATAAATCGCGATTTGTTAGTGCTTTGGGTGGTGAAGATAATGGACGAAACCGGCATCTATGTATACTTTTTCATTTTATTCAACGTTGTTTTATTTATGTGCAGTGTCGTTCCAATTAATGAAAAAAATAATACCTGTAGGCTATAAGCTCGAATCGGATAACGGCAAAACATGCCCCAAAGTCCTTCAAATTTAAATATAAAATATAATGCATGAGCTTTGGATTGCTATTTCAAATCCTATATCAAAATTTTCCATCTACCTAACTCCTATTTTATTCTGATTTTTTTTTTGTTTTTGATCATTTCTGTTATAAAGTATAGCAATGTTATAACTATGACATTATATATAATATTTAGAGAGTAAAAGTGTAAGGACCACACTATTTTAGAAATAGTCT